CTACTTCTCCATCATGCATGACATCAGAGTCTTAATTACTGTCTTTTCGGCAGGCGTACTGTGTCACAGAGCCCGGGGCAGGTTCTGATGTGGCCGGCATCAAGACCCGAGCTGTGAAGATGGGTGATGAGTATGTTGTTAATGGACAGAAGATGTGGATCACCAATGGTGGGAAAGCTAACTGGTGTGTACTCACTACCATTACTCAGAATACACACTCTGTAGCAAGTTTACGTAGATTCAACTTTATGATGATTTGATTACAACTTTCATACAGGTAGAATTTATTACAGGACTTCCAGATTGGACCACAATAGTTTAATCAAGGTGCACTTAATAAACTTGCAAATGAGTGTATTTTGACACATTTTGACTAATAAATAAATACTGTTTCATAGTAACTTATTTCAGTTTTGTGCAAGAGGAATTAAGGGCTTGTCCCATATGGACACCTGTCCCAAATAAGGCAGGGTCAATGCAGTGATTTTAGCAAATGAAAGGTATGGTATACATATCCTTAAAGGTAATGAATACACAAACATATTTCTGCTCTGATGGTTATCTGAATATTTATATGTCTTTAATATTCCTAGGTACTTCCTCCTGGCTCGCACTAACTCTGATCCGAAATGTCCAGCTGGCAAAGCCTTTACTGGCTTCATTGTGGATGCTGACACTCCAGGAATTCAAATAGGAAGGAAGGTAAGATAAAGCTGAGTTGTTTGTTTTTTTCACATTAACTGGTTTTGTATTAAGGTCAGTATTTTTCTTAGAGGCCGGTATGGGCTATATGAAAAGTTATTAAGTGCTAAACACTATAGATGATGAGTAACCTCATAATCAGTACAACAATTAACTCAAAAGAATAATCTCCATGATAATTTTACGATGACATAATTAACTTTACAATGCAGCCATATGATTTAGACACAGAAACCTGCTGAATCTCCCTCTGATTTGAGACTTGGAGTTGAGAGGAATATTATCTGTCTCCCTGTGAAGTTTATTATTATAAAAACTGCTTTCAGATTTGTGCTGTATAAATTATTATTAGATAGAATCATGTTATAATTAATGGGGAAACATCTGCTATCCAGCCAAGAGTTACCCCACAAGTACACTGCCCCATGTGCATCACAAGATAGCATGTCCTTGTGTTTGTTTTGTCTTTGTAGGAGATGAACATGGGCCAGAGGTGCTCAGACACCAGAGGCATCACCTTTGAGGATGTAAGAATACCGAAGGAGAATGTCCTGATTGCAGAGGGATCTGGCTTCAAAATTGCCATGGGTGCCTTCGACAACACTAGGCCACCAGTAAGTCTTCTAACTGTAGATCAGTTGTAATACCATGCATAAACGCCTCATGTTACTCCAAAGATGGCTCACTAACAATCGTTCAGTTATTTAAAAGAATATGTTTATTAAAAAAGTTTTAAAATGGGCCCGGAGTACAGATATCTGTGTCTGTGTCAGAAAAAACACTTGAAGTGCAAAACTCTTGCAGTTTGGCCATATTTACAGTACAGGACTTTTAGTGCGTAATCAGCAGCTCTGTTCTCCCAAACATCTTTCTTAAATGTCTATTAAAAATGCATCTTTTGAGCTGGCCTTATCAAAGCAGAAAATGCACCATTTGGATTTGTGTGGACGAAAAAACTTTGATCTAAAACTTTAACTTTAAACTGATATGCTCCAGGAGTTTCATATCCACAGACTAATAATAAGTTCACCTCAGCTCATAGGTTTATACAGAGCATCAAAGACATCATCAAATTAAAAGGCATTTGTATATCTTTCAACACTGATATTCCATTGCTAAAACCAAACAATTTTAAGCTTTGTAAATACAAACATTGTAAATGGAATAGTCATGTTTAATAGTATTTGTCACTGAAGATTTTTGTGTATGATGTTTACTAATATAATTTATGCAATGCAGGTGGCAGCAGGAGCTACAGGCCTGGCACAGAGGGCACTTGAGGAAGCTACCAATTATGCCCTGGAGAGGAAGACCTTTGGCAAAGTTATTGCTGAGGTTTGTTTGCTTCATGTTTTTGCAAGTAGACACCGACATGTTCCGATAAAGCCCATTTTGAGTTAAAAAAATACAGCAATGGCAATACTGTCATTACTTTAACTATTGTGATGGCTGACTGTCAGGTGACCACACAGCTGCACAGTGTTAAAAGTACAAAGATGAGTACAGGATCAACAGGTCCCTCTGTCTCCTCCTTTTTCACAGCATCAGGCTGTGTCTTTCCTCCTGGCTGAGATGGCAATGAAGGTGGAATTGGCCAGGATGGCGTACCAGAGGGCGGCCTGGGAAGTGGACCAGGGCCGTAAAAATACCTACTACGCCTCCATCGCCAAGGCATTCGCTGGAGACATCGCCAATCAGGTGGCTTCTGACGCTGTTCAGGTATTTGGAGGCAACGGCTTCAACAGTGAATACCCCGTAGAGAAGCTGATGAGAGATGCCAAGATCTACCAGGTGGGTTAGGTTGTGCATCTAATCACTGCTAGCAAAGGCATTTGGTAAAACTTTTTAAACTTTTTAAAAAATGTTTCTAATTTCCTTTGCAGATCTACGAGGGCACAGCTCAAATCCAAAGACTCATCATTGCCCGAGAACACCTGGGAAGATACAAGAAATGAACTCTGCACACCTTGCCCTCATTCACATGTACTTTGTTGTAAAGTTTCTACACATACACGTGTTCCTGGAAATAGATCTGGTTACATAAACTCAGGATAAAGTTGTAAAACATTGTTTGCCTTAAAATCACTTCATCCTGCCTTGCTTTTTCAGACTGATCCAGACCCTGAATCGGTAGACAGCAGTCCACCTTTTTAATAAGAGAACAAAACATTAAAAACCTGTCAACAAGACCTGTCACATTTAAAAGTGTAGCTCAGAAGTGTGGCCTTAATGAGTTCTTGAGAATCACCACAAAGCAAAACCGGCATTATGACTTTAAAGCACTATTGTGGGATCTCTGTTGAAAAGGGTCTTTTGTGTAATGATTTAACAACTAAAAATGCATGTTGTCTGAAAATGGTTTTGTCTGTTTTAGCAAAATAGGTCAAATTGCAATATACACTTAACCATGGAGAACCTCTGCAGAATGTATAGATGTAATATGTAGGCTGTGGTTTCACTGTCAATAAACACACCTGTCACTTTTTGACATAACGGTGAATTAATCTGAAGGTTTTAAGTCTGTATATCATCCAGTTTTGAATTATTCCATCCAATCTAGAACTGATGTTTTTTTGGTTTGTTTTTGTGAACATTGATAATGGATATAAAGAGGTGTTTTATGTTTTCATCTTGAAGTTCGATTAAAGGGAGAGTAAATGATTCTGCAGAAGGATTGTTGAGATTTGATCTCCACTGCCAAATACTCTCTCACGCTCTGCCCCCCAGATTTCAAATCTCTGACATTTCTCCAGCGCTGAATGCCTTCGGCCTTGCCTGGTCATGTAACTTTCTTCTCTGTTTATACTGGTCATACAGCATAATGTTCAGTAAGTAAATTAAGGTCACATTTAAAACAAAATAGACGACAAAGCTGATGTTCAAGGGTCCTCTACGGGACACTTCCATTGAAAAAAACATGATAAAGTGATACAGTGCAATATACTGCACCATATATAGCTGGTGCCCTTTTTTTCGCCCCTGTCCCTCAAACAGCCTAAATACCCTGCTGCTGTCAGGCGTCATAATCCAGCGAGATCCAACTATCACTGAGCATAGTAGACTGGAGGTATTAGTTATTACTGCATATAGGTGAACAACCCTTTAATCCAGGAGGATAGTTTATTAGGGGCCTTGTCTATGGACCCTGTGGTCATGCAGATGAGCAGCATCATGGCTCAGTGGTTGGCGCCGACTGTTGCCTCATCAAATCAGTGTGTTGCAGTGTCCTACATTTAGGAATATAATATGCACCAGATGTATAATTTTTATTTATTATTTTAATTTTACATTTATTACAATGAAAAATGAAACAGACAGCTTTGCTATTTACTAAATATTATTAACTGTTTTAAAATACAGTACAGCTTTTCAAATTACTGTACAAATTAAATTAGGCTACTATACTGTGTATAATTCAAATACACTATAAAGGTATACAGTGCAGTACTTTATTTAAAATATAGCTTAGTGTAGTCCAAATTATAATTAGGCTATAGCCTAAAACAGTATTGTGCTGTTTACAATAACAATAATGTCAGTAGTGCAACTACTAGCCACAGCTTGGCATTGGTTTCAGTGCATTTCTAAATTTATTATCAGGCTTTGAAAATAAAAAGATTCATTAAATATTCCGATTTTTTCACCAAGAAATAGACCAAAAATGATTTCTGTAAATGGGCTACTTGATGACTGTACACCACTTGTATTAAAATTATTTTGTCACAAACCTTTTGATCCATATAAGCGGTTGATCACTGTAAACGTAATCACTATAAGTGGTTTAATAAAAAAAGAAACTGTATAAGAGCAATTAAACTAAAATTACACATTCACACAGTACCCATGGCCAGTGGAGTACAGAAACTACTAGTGCAGTACCATCTCAAGCAAAGAATAGGTCAATGACAAAAACCTTTCGGAGAGCTTTTCTGAAGATGTTAACTTATTTGTTTGAGAATCCAGTTTGTGGAACAGGTTTTGGAATATGTGGCTAACTTTCAGCACTAAGGGCCTGTGTCCAACTGGTATCACTGGTATAGTGGTAGAATGAGGTTACTAACTACAAAATGGCATTTGTTCTGACTCAAGTACTGCTGATCAAAAGCTGTTTTACTTCATTTGTGCCCCACATACGTTTTACCTAAAGATCTCAAGTGGACATTTGCAATGTCTTTGACTGTATTGGTCTACACCGTCGTACAGTCTTAGTACAGGAAGAAGACGTTGAGTCCTCTTCATTAAAGTAAGCCTGGGTCAGTAGAAGTGGACATTCCACTTTATTCCAGAATTGTAAAGCACCAGGATTTTGCCTGCGGTCCACACTCCGAAGCTGAAGGTGGCGCGCCTAAGAAAAACTCAACAACTCAAGAAGAAGAAGTCGCAGCAGCAGCAGAAGAAGAAGAAGCAGCAGCAGCAGCCTGATCATGCGAACATTTTCAGAATGGTAACTGGCGTCATGTTGTAAATGTTATAGTTATGCAGGGTGTATTATATTAACATTATAGCCGAACTCTTTGTACATGTCCACTTGCCTCCATTCTGTCCAAATGTTGCCCCGCATTGACCGCTAATGTGTAAAATCAGCCAGTAAAGTGGCTAAATGTAGCAAGCATCGGTGTTAGCATGTAGCTAGTTGATAGCACAACCTGTCAGCAACTCCTTTTCTTTTGTCAGTCATGTAGCTACGTAATATGAATTAACTGAGTATCTGGTTTGACAGCGGAAGGGCTGAGGTCATAATTGTATTATATTCAAACCCGGTCAGTTAAGATTTGTGGCATGTTTTAAATATGTCGGTGTGTTTTAATGTCAGGGTACCCAAGTGAAAGATGTCGTCATTAAGCCTGACGCTCCCAGCACACTGCTGCTGGACAAACATGCAGACTACATCGCTGCCTACGGCTCCAAAAAGGATGACTATGTGAGTAAAGGCTCTCTCATGGGCTTTCTAGATGTGTTTTACTACCCTGGACACCTCTGTCCACTTACTTTCCCCTGGGTATATTACTTGGCTAAGAGAGGAAACTGAATTTCTGCCACAGCAAACAATAATATTAGGCAAAAGTGTGCTTCCAACTTGATAACAACAGTTTGGGGACATGATCCCTCTGTCTAAAGCCAGGTCCAGAAGTAAATAGTTTTCCCACTTGTGTGGAAGAACTTGTCTGGCCTACTCAGAGCCCTCACCTCGACCCCATTCAACACCTTTTTGATGAATTGAGCACCCACTGCGAGCCACGCGTTATCGCCCAACATCAGTGGCCCACCTCACCAGTGGGAGCAAATCCATCTGCAGCCAGATGCCAAGATTTTGTGAAAAGCACAAGATTGCAAAGTTTGAATTTGCAATTTTAAGACATTTTGAAAATGCTTGTATGCCTTTATAATTACTACATTTCCAAATAACTAAATCTGCTTTCAGGAGCAGAAGAATGTATTAATGGTTTAATTTCAATTTTACAAATGTAAATATTTAAACAATAGGCCCATTGCTCTAATCATTTTCTTTATTGCTAAAGCTTTTACTATGTTCTCTATACAAAGTCAACAAAGATATCTTTTAATGAATAAACAAGGGAGAAAATCTTTTTCAATCCTCCTCCTTCTGTTCACTCATATCCTGTTTATGTTTGTCCAGGAGTACACGCTGTCAGAGTACCTGAGGATGAGCGGCATCTACTGGGGGCTGACTGTGATGGACCTGATGGGGCAGCTGCCCCGGATGAACCAGCAAGAGATCGTGGACTTCATCAAAGCTTGTCAGCACGAGTGTGGTGGCATCAGCGCCAGCATCGGACACGACCCTCACCTACTCTATACCCTCAGCGCCGTCCAGGTGACCCCTTAGACAGTCAAATTTGACAGACTGATCGACTTATTGTGGTTTTCTCACCATCTTTTATGCCATAAGAGGTTGGAATTATATATATATATTTGTTTATTAAACCCCCATCTAAACTTCTCAAATTGTCTGTTAGCATTAGGTTTGTAAATTATCTTTTTGTTCTTCAACCCTTGTATTTTGTGTTGGTTATTTTCCTGGGGTTTTGACTTAAAATTTTTGGTTCAATTACTGTATTTGGTAAAACAAAAACTCTTCCTCAGATCCTGTGCTTGTATGATAATGTGGATGCGATTGATGTGGACAAAGTGGTGGAATACATCAAAGGGCTGCAGCAGGAAGACGGCTCATTTGCAGGGGACAAATGGGGTGAGCAAGATGAAAATTAAAAAGGAGAGAATGAAAAGCGCGCAAGCATTTTAGTACAAATAATAAATAAATAATAGATATAATAAAATATGTGTCTTTTCGAATATATATCTACAAACGTACAACTTAAATGTGTTGTCAGATGGGGCTTGCAGAAAAAAAATGTTAGTTCTCATTTATTTAAATTATTGTTTGCTGTAAAGATAATATTATAGTATAATGTTGTGTTATAATTACAGTTCTCTGTCTTTACAGGAGAAATAGACACAAGATTTTCCTTCTGTGCTGTTGCTACACTTGCATTGCTAGTATGTATATCATGTGCGGCTTTTGTCAACCTTTTGTCTTTACTTAACACTGAAACAATTTATAATATAATTACATATATATTGTAATATTTGAAGATGAACCTCTGCCCTCTCCTCCTCCAAGGGCAAGATGGACGCAATAAATGTGGACAAAGCTGTTGAGTTCATCTTGTCCTGTATGAACTTTGACGGAGGTTTTGGGTGTAGACCTGGTTCAGAGTCTCATGCTGGTCAGGTGAGTCCACTGATGTACTGGTATGGTGCAGGACAATCGCTGTGGGAGTCTCTTTTTACACAAAAGCAAAAACCGTTAAAGTTAAACTAAAGGTGAAATCGAAATCAAGTGTTAAGTTGCTACTTCCCATGCTATCAGACAGTTAAATTCTTATTCACACATCACATACAAGTGTCTCCCTCCTGTCTGTCAGATTTACTGCTGCACTGGCTTCCTGTCGCTCACCGGTCAGCTGCACCAGGTGAACGCTGACCTGCTGGGCTGGTGGCTCTGCGAGAGGCAGCTGCCATCCGGAGGCCTCAATGGACGACCGGAGAAGGTTTGTGCTCACCAGATGCTGCACTGGGAAACCAAATGCCACCTTGTCATTTTCACTTGGACAGGACAGAGTGATTCTTAAATTAGTTGTGGTGCTCTGCTCATTCTTATTTCTTCAGTATCAGGAAATAATTTTGTATGGTGGAGTTAGTATTATGCCCCGTGCCTGTTTTGCTGCCAGAGGAACTGGTGCACCAGTAAAAAATGAAGAAGGAGGAGTACTTTGAAAATTCTTCAGGAAAACCTAAAATCATCAGCCAGAAGGTTAGGTCTAGGACGCAGTTGGGTGTTTCAATGGGACAATGACTCCAAACACACATTAAAAGTGGTAAAGAACTGGCTACAAATAAGGTTTTAGAAAGTCTGACCCCATACCCATCAAGAACAAAAGCGCCTAACTGAAGTGATAATGACCAAGGGACATTTAAGCAAATGCTAACGTTGCTGTATGTTGTTGACCCAGTAGGTTTGGTCACATTTTCAGAAGACTCATAATAAATTAATATTAAGATTTTTTGTGACAAAGAAGTACTCCAATCATTCCATCACAGAAAAATAAGAGTTGCAGTAATTATTGAAAAAGTCAAACTGCCATGTAGGGCTGAATGATTAATCGTTTTCAAATTGAAATTGCGATTTGAAAGAACGTGATTAGCTAATTGTGAAGACGGCGATTAAAATGTAGCTTAATTATACAGCGCACCTGAACGGTTTTAAACAGTCATGCAGTTACAAATTCATTCCGTTATCATCCTTGTGTGACGGATCTGCTCACCAATCACAAGCACCATGCCCCTTCTGTTACAGTCCTACTCACCAATCAGAGTGGGCACAGGCCGTGTACATTTTACAACAACAAACTAAACTAGAGGAAAACGTGGGATAATGGCTTCAGGAGAACAGACACAGGTGGCGGCTATACCGCGGTTTTGTCCAGCGTCAACTCACACAACCCAATTTGTCATTTTGTTTGCTTCAAGTACGGATAACAGCTCTCTGAACTGGCTTTGTTCCGCTCTCTGCATGGCTACATGGAGCATTTGAGAATAAGAGCGTTGTGCCTGCCTGATTTTGCTGACTTGTTCAGATTTTGATTATTAGTTCAGTTGTCCTTGATTTTTGTGTTACTACTATGGTTAAGCAGGCTACATAGTTATATTGTTTGTTCTTTGTCTGTTTTAACTGTTGATACACGATCGGGAGTGTGCACAGGGTGTTTTAAAAATTGACCAGATTCTCTATTCCTTGTCACTGCCCAGTTCATCTGCTGTGTGCTGCTTGATGGGGCTTAACTCAAAAAAAAAAAAATAAATAAATAAAGGGATCGCTAATCAAATTATAATTGCAGTATCTGGCAGAAAAATCACAATTACATTTTTTCCCGAAGTTCAGTCCTACTGCCATGACATGCATGTTCTTTGAGTATGTGTATGTAACTGGGCTGAGCAGGTAGCGTACAGTGGGTTTAGAGCATTTTTGTGAAAGGTGAAAGTTGTGACAGCTTAGAGAGGGAGTTATAACTCACTACAAGCTCAGTGAAGCCGACCTTAGCTGCTTTAAATGGATGTCCTTACAGTACCCTCCAGCTCTGGTTTTATTCATCTCATTCAGCTTCCAGATGTGTGCTACTCGTGGTGGGTTTTGGCGTCGCTGAAAATCATCGGCAGGATCCACTGGATCGACAAGGCCAAGCTCCGAAGGTTTATTCTGGCCTGTCAAGACGAGGAGACCGGAGGTTTTGCTGATAGACCAGGAGACATGGTGAGCTGTTAAACTCAACAAAACATTTATTATCTTCATCTTCTGTAAACCTGCGCCTCCATGATCCCTTCCTTTTTGTCTTTCTGACCCGTATATTTTCATTCAAAGGGTATTACATACAAGTTATCTTTAATGAACAAAGGACACCTCATCTCTGCTGCTTTCAATCCATAACACACATATTGATGTCTTCTCTAATGCACATCTTCATATTCTTGCATCCCTAAAAGCTGTGCTAAGATGTTCTGATACGTGTGTGTGTGTCATTACAACCCCAGTTTTTAGTGCGGTGTCTCTGTGATACTCTTTAACTCCATCCTTCTCTGCATTCAGGTGGATCCTTTCCACACTCTGTTCGGAGTTGCTGGTCTCTCTCTTCTCGGAGACGAACAGATCAAGCCCGTGAATCCGGTTCTGTGCATGCCTGAGGATGTCCTGCAGAGGATTAACTTGCAGCCTGACCTGCTCAGCTAGCCCTCTGACACCCAGCACCCCACCAAAACACACCTTAGTGTTAGCTGACAGACACCTTTTAGATGCAGGTTTTGGTCTCTGCTCACCAAGGACAAATACAGTCACACAGACTCGATTCCTCTGAGCCTTCCTGGCTTTCAACCCGCAACCACTCAACTCACGTTGTTTTGAAGTCACTTTTGTTGGTTTAACTGCAGGAGAACAGTTGAAGTGATGTTTCAAACCATTAAATGACATTCCTGAAGTTTTTGACTTACTCACTATGTACGTTTGTATGAGGGAAAGTATGCTGTCAGCAACAGAAACTGTTGTGGAAATCAGTTTCTTATCTCTTTCTTGCTCTCATCACCTTTTAAACTTGTCAGTCAGCAAAAGAAGTTATTACTGCAATTAATTTCTTTGGCCAGAGGACAGAGGCAGTGATTGGCTCTACTTTTTTGAGGAATATTCTGTTTAACGTGACAGATTTGTGCATTTGAGTTTAAAAACCGAATGAGATCTATGTGTGAAGCGGACATGCATGATCAAGTTGTGTGCTCTGTGATTTTAGATTGTGTTTCGGGACACTAGATTTGTTTAAAGACATCACATGTCTTTGTTTTTCTCATTTTGTTGGTGGATATTTACCTTATTCATGCACCTGCTATTTCAAATAAAAGAATTTCTGTATTTGAAAAGTAAGAGCATGCGAAGGGCAAACTGTCCTTATCACAACTGGAGATGCAAGACAGGACTCGTAGCAAACAGCTAGTTTTATTGATGTCCCTGCTTTGGAATAATGTCAGTTTAAAGTTCAGACGGAGGAATGGGCAGTGTTATGTTTGTGACTGGAGACACCAAGCAGTAGAAGACATTGCAGTGTTGTCTCTTGCGAAGTATATTGAACGTCTTATCCACAGTGTCGGCTACACTATTTATTTAAATCCATGTTACTCAGCTTAGTTATGCAGCTGTAGGCAGACACGCTGTGCGAAATATTTCCAGTCTTACTTTTTTGATGATTCATGACTACTAATTTGGTTAAAACTCTTTAGATTCTTTTTTTTCCTTTCAGAAATAACTGATCTTTATGTTGCTGCACTTGGGTTGTCTTACTGAATGCAAATTGGATCTGTTGTTAGATAACTCTTCAGTGTTGACATTGTTACATAAAAAAAGTCACATGTTGAATCTATTAGTTCTGAGGTTGTACCCAATTTAAGTGACAATGCAAACATTTATTAATTATTATTATTATTATTATTATGGAAACTTAATGCAAAGTCATTACTTAAACAAAAGCCTACATTGTGATCATAGGGTTTAAATCACAGTTCTCACAACTCAAACCTGTAACTACATACTGAACAACTTGCTAAACTACGTCTTGTGTTGTGGGCTCAGCTCTAATCCAAAAAGCTGCTTACTGTTGCACCACTGTATGTGTGTATATTAACTTATTTGTTATCTTGGTTGGCAATAAATGATTCCCTTCAACTGTAATTCACTTATTTTTTTCCACTAAAGGAGCATTTTTCACTTCCACTATTGCATTTCTTTACTAATTACCTATAAAACAAGTCATGAATTGTGCTCTCTCTCAATAGATAAAGAGATGGATAGATCTTTAGATAGAGATAGTATGGATTCAGTCGAAGTTTATGAGACAAATGTTGTGGAAAGCTTGAATATTCATCAAAATTACAAACTTGCATCCACAAAAGTATCATTTAAAAAGTTATCTTCACATGTAGGGATTATTTCTACAAAATCCAATTAAATATACTTCTGTGGCTGGTTTGAGTAGATGCCACTAGATGGCAGCCTTACTATTTATTTGAGTTGATGCAAACAACATGTGTTTCTCATCAAGTAACCTGGTTAGATTATCCACAGATAATGGGGTTGGTGTGTGAATCCACACAAAAATGTAACTGCAACAATACAATGAGGTGGGAATTGTATATCTATAGAAAGTGTAACTGTGTGTAACCGATACTTACGTAACCTCAAACACTCACCTCATGCATTTTACATGCTACATCATCAAATCCATATTAATTCACACAGGAGGCTGTGGTAATAATGCTGGCAGCCGAAAAATGCCACAAATGATACTGAATTAGATATGTTTCACAGCAGTGGCAGACTGTAATAATGGTGCAGCGTAAAGATTGATGCACTCCATTTATTATAAGTAATTAGAGGCAGATAATTCTCTCCTACCTGTTTTCCTTCAGGTATAAAGATAAGGACATCCCCTGCTCTGTGCAGCCTGATAAGAAAATGACACTTTACCTCTAACAATTTGCTTTAACAACAATGGCTTTAAAAAAATGTTCGACAACTGATCAAATGATAACAATAACTGTATGTAACATTACTATTTGTGTTATTCCGTGCACTAATTACTGCATCATGATAGTGACAGATGCAGCCCGTTTTAGTAATCGGATGCAGTCTGTATTCTTGCTCAGGGGCAGGTTTACAAACTTTTGAATGGAGGTGGGGATGAGTATCTTCCAAGTTGTCTCTCTGAGATCGTTTTGTATCTCCTTGTGGTTGTTTTGCATCTCTTTGTAGTCATTTTGTATCTCTTTTTGGTCATATTGCATGCTTTGTAGAAATTTCTGTCTCTTTGAAGTTGTGTATCACTTTGTAGTCGTTTTGTGTCTCTTTGTGGACGTTTTGCATGCTTTGTAGCAATTTTTGTGTCTCTGAGGTTGGGAATCTTGTGGTCATTTTCCGTCTGTTTGTGGTCATTTTGCATAAATTTTTAGTCGGTTTGCCTCTCGTTGTGGACAATTTGCATGTTTTGTAGCAATTTCTGTCTCTTTGAGGTTGTTTATCTCCTTGTGGTAGTTTTCCTTCTCTTTGTGGTTGTTTCCCATTGCTTTATAGGCTTTTTGTGTCTCTTTGAGGTAGTATATGTCTTTGTGGTCGTTTTTCATATCTTTTTTTGTTTGTTTAATTGACTTTCTGGCAAAAATGTTTAATAATTACTTAATGCAGAGTCACTGGTCCAGTGGCCCCTGGTCCTGTACCATGTAGGCCTGATCAGTAATCCATCCATGATACCGACAAGCCAACTACCTATCACTGTCCTGCACTGGTTGGCGTGGGCAACAAGGGGCCAATCACATTCCCATGCCACCGCTCTGGCCCCATCTCTGTTCTAGCTACATGCATTTTCCATCATGTGATATTCAAAGTGCAGCATGGAACTGCAAAAAATAATACTGGCAGCCCTGCGAGTTTCATATTTATTTGTCTATTTATTTAGTCTATGGGGGAGCAGTAAGCTGTGGGACCCTGGTGTCTGGGCAGAGACAAACATGCTGGTTGTTAGGCTACTGAGAAACCCCACCGGCTCTCATTAGTGAGGAAGAGAGAGATGAAGAAGACAGACGGTGGGAGAAAGGGGGAAAAAGTGGGTAGAAAAAGTGTGAATGAGAGATAGAGGCAGAGAGCAAGGAAACCAGAGAGAGAAAAAGACAGATGGATGGATCAGAGCTTTCACCTCTTGTTTGTTTGCAGGGAAAGCCACAACCCATTTCCCTCCCTCTCCTATTCTCAGTCCTGTCACCCTCTTGTTATCTCTCAGCACAAAATACTGAGGATTAGTGCAGGCCACAGGGGCTGCAGCCAAATGCTGCTGAACCATGGGCACAGCAGACAATCACTTAAAAATGTTTAATTAAACCACTGCAGTGTTGTATGTGAATGTAGAGGTGACTCACAAGTTTGGTGGAAAATGGAAATGCTTTAAAAAAAAGTCTACTCAACAGATTTGTAGTTATTAGACACAGTGTGACACATTGTTAGTTTTTGTCCCCAGCAGCTCTGGTAAGGTCTGATTTTATAGCTCAACACTCTGGCATGGATTTTTTATTTGGAGAAAGTTAGTTTTCTCTTAATTCATAATTTACTTTGTGTCTCTGTGGAGTTTTCTTTTTAACCCATCAAGTTACTGCCGTTTCTGCAGAGCAGTTGCTGTTGTGGTTGCTTTGGTCAAAGTTCTGCTCTCCTCTGACATACCTGTCACACATTCAGGTGTAAATATAGATCTTAAATCCCATAACTAAACCAACTCCGCAGAACTCAGAGTAATTAATAATAACTTAATAATAAACTTATCTCTGAGATTTGGCCACATGGGCCTCCTGTCTGTTAGAGAAAATGTTTTCAAATAAAGCAGATCGTGTCGAGGGTAAATATGTTTACGTCTTAGTTTAAGACATTTTACTTTCAAGGAATAGTTCAACATTTAGGAAAATGCGTCCATTTCCTTTCCTACAGAAAGTTAGATGGGAAGAAAGACTCCACTCCCAGATGCCCTCAGACTTTCCCTCCATTCCTTGTCAGTTCATCCTATATTGAACAAACTTATAAACGTAACTCAAAAGGCCTATTTCTCTCAAATATTGTTCACAAATCCTGTGTTAGTGAGCACTTCTTCTTTGCCGAGGTCCACCTCACAGGTGTAGCATATCAAGATGCTGATCAGACAGCATTGGTATTGCACAGGTGTGCCTTAGGCTGGCCATAATAAAAGGCCACTCGAAAATGTGCAGTTTGTACATACACGCTGTCTGCCATCTGCCCTGTACAGTGAAAACCGGGATTCATCCGTGAAGAGAACACCTCTCCAAAGTGCCAGATGCCATCGAATGGGAGCATTTTCCCACTCAAGTGGGTTACAATGACGATCTGCAGTCAGGTCGAGACCCCACTGAGGGCGATGAGCATGCAGATGAGCTTCCCTGAGATGATTTGTGACTGTTTGTGCAAAAATTGTTTGGTTATGCAAACCGATTGTTGCAGCAGCTGTCCAGGTGGCTGGTCTCAGACGATCTTGGAGGTGAAGATGCTGCACGTGGAGGTCCTGGGCTGGTGTGGTTACACGTGGTCTGCGGTTGTGAGGCCGGTTGGATGTGCTGCCAAATTCTCTGCAACTCCTTTGGCGACGGCTTATGGTAGAGAAATGAACATTCAATTCAGGGCAACAGCTTTGGTGGACATTCCTGCAGTCAGCGTCCCAACTGCACGCTCCCTCAAAACTTGCGACGACTGTGGCATTGTGCTGTGTGATGGAACTGCACAAGTTCGAGTGGCCTTTTATTGTGGCCAGACTGATCAGCATCTTGATATGCTACACCTGTGAGGTGGATCGATTATCTTGGCAAAGGAGAAGTGCTCACTAACACAGATTTTGACAGATTTGTGAACAATATTTGAGAGAAATAGTCCTTTTGACAAAGTCTCAGATCTTTGACTTCAGCTCATAATGAATGGGGGCAAAAATATAAACGTTACTTTTACAATTTTATTCAGTGTAGATACTTTGTTTGCTTTACCTGGACCTATATCTGTATCTGCTTACCTGCCTGTGGTACCTGCCTGCCTGCCTACCGATCTGTCTGCCTGTAAGCTCAATTATGCACAATAAATAATTGAGCTGCACCAGTCTGCCTGTTCTGTCTGTTTAGAGCCAATGCCCATTATCTGGCTTAACCCACCTTGACAGTTTGAGGTGTCATTGGCCGGCCTTTTTGGAAAGTCAAAGGGCTCAGTAAATACTCTAGTCTTGATCCCAATCCTTAGTAAATTATTTCAGCACATGGCAATATAGCATTTCACTACACATTATGTTGTGTACCTGAATAATGGTGAAATATGTGACAAACATCTGATTTGATTAATCTTGGTAATGTGCCAATACTAAGTCTGATCAAATAATGATTTATTTTTACTTTTTGGAACAGCTGTGTAGTGCATACTTCAGTTTCAGAAAACCTACATTGATGTTAGTAAAGGAATTTAACCATTGACAGTAGAGACTGAGACTGCTTTTCAGAAATTGGAACCTGCACCACAGGTTTCCTTTGCTGATGGTTTCATATTATGTTTAATATAACATCCAACGGTATTATGTATACTGTGTGAATCTGAAGCTTTATGAGGAGCAGGTATTTGTTTTAGCAAACAGCAGTGTATTAGAGGTATAGTTCACTTGCAAAGTGCTGTTAAAAAAGATTCAAAATGACTAAGAGCGATTGTATTTTGTTTTTCAGATGACTGACCAGATATGATGACAGATATACATTTGTGATTGAGCAAACCCTGACAGGAAGAGCAGATGTGATGGAGAAGATTAGAGCTGGAAGATACAGCAGGAAGAGAAATGCTGCAGTCAACACTGAAAAATATAACCCCTATCTTAAATTTCAGCCAGGAGTAATATTTTATATGACAGTATAAATATTGTGGCTGGTGTAAACAGTGTTACACTTAGCTCTTGGTATAACTACAGCTCTTCCATTTGCTTGTTGTTGCTGAGATCAGTGGTGAGTCTAGAAATCCTTCCCAGTGCTACACTATGATGTTCCCACATGATGAGCCTGTGTAGACACACAGAGTATTTCTGTATTTAGTGTTGAAAGATATTTGGTGTAACTTCAGTCATGAGAGGAGGCTGATGAATGATGTGTCCTGTCTGATTG